GTATTCAATAACGAGCTAATAAGTGACTAAGAATCAAAAGGGGATTTCAATTAATTACAATGTTCATGCAGGCCAATGTTTCTAAAGAAGTGTTCGGCGCTGTTCTTTTAACTAGCAAATAATAGCACAGACCGAGACAAAACCTTGTTACAAAAAAGATACATAGGTAGCTTCCTGCAAGACAGGACCAGATCATGGCCTAGATTTTAGCTTATCTGTACAAATAGCTCAGAATCCACGGAACGGTTGGACGTCATAGTTCTCAGGGGGCGGCCAATTAGGCTAACCTCATGCATTGCCTTGTCTGAAAAATGGACAACCCGATAAACGATCGGAAGCACAAACCACACGTCTTTAACCCTCGCCGGACCTATTGGTTTTCTACATACGCGCCGGCCGAGGGGGGGGGGCGGGTACGACCCCCCCCCCTCGCCGTTTCGCCCCTGGTGGAGCTAGCGCGTCGCGGAAAAAACGAGCGTGTGCGCCGTTACGAGACGCAGAGATTGGTACCCGATTTTAAGGTCCTAGGTCAACCGGTGACCTCTGAGGTCAGGTCAAGTGCCCCAAGGTACGGTTCAGTTTTTGGTGAATAACTTCGCAAAAAACGGCCGTAGAGCCGCGATTTTGGCAGCATCGTGTTTGCCTCGCTCAGGCGCGTCGAATGGTATACTTTTTGTCCGGGTCAGGTCAACTTGGGGTGTTGACCTCAGGTCAAGGTCAGGTCAGCACCCCCAGGTCACGAAGTTGGTCGAAAGAGGTCATGTCGCATATCATTCGATTCGGCAGGCCTTCCTGAGTCCATTGGTGGCTTTCCCGACTCGCTAGCTCAATTTGATCAAGAGTTATTGACGAAAAACTAATATGACCTTGATGACGTCATAAATGACGTCACGCAAGGTCAACATTGCAAAAGTGACGCATCTAACCTTGCAAGGAGTGCATCAAATCACGATTCTGCGTGCTTGAGATAGTTGGAGATCGTTCCCGGCGCCAGAATAGCAGTTTTCATTTTTCCCCATTGACTTATAATGGTGAGGTCACGAAAATGACCTGACCTCATATGACCTTTAGGAAAAATCCGAGATATACAAGTTGTGGGACTCATAATGGATACTAGATCCTGCAAGTTTCATTTCCCTGTGACATCTCCTCTGGCAGTGAGGGCGTTGCGAAGTTGCGACATCTGAAGACCGTGCAGAGGTTCACTTATGACGTCATAGGTCAGTGACCTGACCTGACCCAAAAATGCGGTTGGTGTCAAAAGATGCGGCTTGGATCAAAGGTCAGGTATGCCAAGTTTCAGCTCTCTATCGCCAGCGTGTTCGGAGCTATCGCGAAAAAACCTTATGGGGGGGCGGCACCCGCCCCCCCCCCTCGGCCGGCGAGGGTTAAAGGGACCATCCCACCTTAACATTAGTTTTGAGTTGAGATAGCCAAGTTTGCGGCCAGGCTCAGAAACCACCATTTATCCTGGTCGCAACCCCCGCAGCTTTATGGTGTTCAAGAAATTTCTTCCCTTTACTTGCAGGGTGGGACCAGCTTAGTCCCTATCTCTTAACCATTAGCGGTTTTTTGATGACGTCAGCAGTCATTTCAACGCCCGCCATTCCTTGAACCCGAGTTTTGCTGACCTTGAGCTCCCTTTTTTATCAACGTGAAATCCGTCGTCGGCGCTGAGAAAGCCTATTGCTTTTCATTTTAATTTGAATATTAGAAGATACCCACCACTGGAACTTGGACTGATATTATACCAAGGCCGAAGATGATCAAGCTGCCTGCTATATCTGGAGCTTGGTGTTCAACTTCAACATGGAATAAAAAACAAAATATCAAAGCAAACTGGATATGGTACTGCAAGTTAAAGTCCAAAGAAATTTGAAGAGCTGACAATTGACATTAATTCTTTTCCTGCAAGGTTTCCATATGGAGATCACAGTCACACCATGAAGAAATATTTTTGATGTTAACAGTTGAAAGGGGATTTATCTTCCAGTTTTGACGAAAGACGCTGCTGACTGTCTTTGGAAAAGGATGTCGGCATGAGGTGCAATTGTGCTTGTGAAGTGGTTATAACTGGTCTTTTCACAGTATTAAATTAAATGTGCCATTGCAGCCAAGTGTGTTATCATGTAAGGTAAAATCAAAACTACAATGTTGGTTTTACGAGCATTGAGAAGGCTGGTAGGTAACACCTGCCTGTGCTCGTAAATCATGCTGCCAGAGTATTCTAAATTAATTTTATCATACACTATTGTTGTCCAGAATGGTTGCACTATTGTTTGGTATCATATTATTCCATGTAAATATGGTAGTGTAAAGTCCGACCAACATGTTACCAGATTTGAAGCTGTTACGTTACCTAAGTACCTGTTTTTTACTAGCGTGATGAATGTCACCTGGATTTTGTTTTGAGGTGCAGACCTAGTAACTCTGACTACATGGGTTTGAAGCTATTATCTATTCTGTTTTTACTGGCCTGGTGAATGGCGACTGATGTTGTCCGTGGATGGCACTGAAACAAATTTTTGAGTGTTTTGTACAGTGTTTTAATACAATGCTGAGGGCTGAAAGTTGTCTTGTTTAGAGTGGTGAAAGTTCAGGATATGCCAGCCACCATGGTGGGTCAGAGTTAAATGTGTTGCAGTCAGTTCGGCTTCGGCAAGCACACGGATGGGCATACGCATCAAGACCTGCTCTGCCATACTTTCAGCCAATTTTACCTAGGTAAGTCTTTTCTTTTTTCTGCCAAAAGCTATGACATTGTGAATTTCAGCACTGTGGCCTGTGTGTAGCTTTCAGGAAAGCAATTCTAAATAAAGCTCTGATAAAGTGCAAAATCAGCAATGCAGCCCTCTATTACATTTTCTACAACATCTTACTTGTTCCTTGCATGGAGAGAAAAATGCAATGTTATGAATTCGTTTATTCACATAATTTGACAAGCATGCAGTTACCTGCTACTATCACTGCACAAAACAGAGCAGAAAACATCAGTTGATCAAACACAAGACATAACAGAAGTTTACAACATAGGGCTGCCGAACCTGCTTCCTCCCACCACAGTTGATGCCATTTCCTAGCCTGGCTTGATGTGAGCACTGAATAGCTGCTTTGTCTAATTACAGCTCACTACCATTCAACTTAAACTACTCTCTTTAAAGTAAGAGTGAGAGCGTTCAGTGTTCATAGCAGCTCGACAGACGAGTCACGACAGACAACAAACATCTTGACAAACCAACCAGTATTTGATTTGGCTAATGATTTATGTGCTTGTTGTATCATGGCCAAACTACTTTAACAGCAATAATCCCTGTTTCATCTTGATCTTGCTTTTATTTCCATTTGAACTCAGATCTTGAAACAATCATCTGAAGTGATATCAGATACTGGCTTCTGTTTCTCTTGAAAGCAAGTTAAAACAACAATGATAAACTAAGGCAGGAGATGTGAGTTGTGGCAGTAGATTTTTGATTCAACATATGTCAACCTTATATTGCTTGAGACCTCTGTGACAGACAAACAAATATTTATAGTTTTTTTGATAGTTTGGATTCTTGGCTTGATTTAGCAGATCAGCTGTGAACCTTGACTTTGAAATCACATAAATGTCATGGTACCCGAACGAATCCTCGCATGACATTTCTTCGTAGCACAATTTTTCGTCCGCATTTCTTCGTCTACAAATCTTCGTCGGTGCATTTATTTGTCCCTCAATGCTTACTCTTGCATATATTTGCGTTGAAGAAGAAATGCGAGCCGATTTTCATATACCCTGGTGCGAGACAAAGTAATGCGATAGGTACGAATAAATGCCCTGACGAAGATTTGCAGACGAAGAATTGCGATACGAAGAAATGCCAAAAGAATTGTCCTGAGCTCTGTTCGCACCCCGTTTATTTATCAGCAGGCTGCGACCATGCTGCTGCTTCTTGGCTCCTCATTGGTCGAATTCAAGTGGTCTATTCGTTAGACCAATGAGAGGCCAAGCCGCGCCAGCAATAACTTCCTTATTTGGGGAAAACCGACAGCACGCTGATATAAAAACAGCGACCGAACAGGGCCCTGGAATCCTTTATTGGCCATCATATATTGACCTTGATAAGATAAACGCATCATTCGCGCAATATTTGTCGCACTTTGATACCAAACTATTGCTTCCAAATGCCGACGTAAAGAAAACCTTTATGTGACGTCATAGAAACAGCGGATTTCCCAAAAAGTAAACAAAAATAAAAGTCTTATATCTCGAAAACGGGTGAATATTTTCCGGTAAAATTTGGTAGATGTTCATTTTCGCTCTTTGTGATTCACGCTACATCACTTTTATGCCAATTCATTAACTTTTTTGAAGGTGGGAGGGTCCCTTTAAAGCATTGATGGCTGGATGCATCAGGTCATCACGTAACTTATACCTAATATATATGCCCTTTACCTCAGCAGTCTATAATTTTTAGTAGGACCCAGGAGTGAGGAGGCCAGTCCTGCGACTAATAAGGCCCGACAGAAAAAGACCGTTATTTCGGATAAGAACCTACACATGACAAAAAAAGTTTTCCTTACGACCAAAAACTCCGACAAAGGTGACTTCTGACCAATTGTTTGGGCACTTTGAGCGCGCGAGCGATGCGATGCGACGGCCAGGAGCCTGTGGAGGCTGCTGACTGGCGGTGCCTGCTATACATATCCATCCCAGAGCAACATCTACATGCACCACCAAGATAGAGTGCAATGATCTTTATTTGCCATAATCACAAACCAAGGGCTTTCATCTTCCCGGAATTCGAGGAAAAATGTCACCACTTTTCCCAATGATATTTCGATGTTTCGCTCGTCCAAAATATCTTTGGGGGAAATGTTAAAGAAAGTTTGCGAACAAACCAGAATAGGGGGCGGGAAAAAGCACCCCTCCTCGTCCTCATAATACACCCTGACATGGTCTCGAACCCACGTTTCCCGGTTACTAGCCCACCACTCACCACTGGCCACCCCGCGGTACTTACAGGTCTGTGATCCGTCGGCATCCCTGCAGGTTGAGGTCCTCGATGTTGTTGCACTGTTCGGCGAAGATACGCAGGGCCGGGTCGGTCACCCACTGGCAGCCGTGAAGACTGAGAGCCTTCAGGAAACCCCCGGAACGGCGGCTGATGTTCTCCACCACACAGCCCTGGAACGGCGGAACGACAGGTAACGGCGAGGAACGACAACCATGGTCATGTGACGACGGCGGAAGTGGGTCTGTAACGACCAGGTAGCAATGGGTAACGGCGGAGGAACGACAGTCATGTAACGACAGCAGAAATTCAGTCAGGTGGGTCTACAAACACGGCAGAAGAAACCGTCAACAGGGTATGAGACGACGGTCGCGGAACGACCGTCACGGGACGCAAAGAGCTGGGATGCTGAATCGTGCACGGGAAGCAGAGATGGGCTGCAAGTTCGGACAAAATATGTCGTTAATATGGGCAGCAAACTTAAGTGGACAGGAACTCGAACAGGTAACTTGGTCGCTATATTGTTTTCTCCCTTATTTAACAATACATCCACCAGCCATTCTTTTAGGGTCGTTCTTAGTCACTTTATCGCTTTATCTGTATTTTTCGGATGTTGCAAATTGCGATTTGAATGATGTCCCTCCCCGCCCAATTCCCAAATGCCTTTGAATTAAAGTAAGTCACCAACCGATGTTCGATATTAACTACAATCCATTTCAGTCATATTAATACGAGCCCAGACTTGTGACAGCTCAAGAAAAAAGTGAGCTCGCTCAGCTCAACTCCGTCTTACCCGCTCCCGCTCAGCTCCCGCTCAGTTTAACGCGGCTCAGCTCAGCTCACGTTCCGCTCAAACCGGCTGCGCTCCGCTCACGCTCAGCTCAGCTCAGCTCAGTTTCCGCTCAGCTCAGCTCAGCTCAGTTTCCGCTCAGCTCAGTTCAGTCTCCGCTCAGCTCAGTTTCCGCTCAGCTCAGCTCAGTTTCCGCTCAGTTCAGCTCAGCTCAGCTCAGTTTCCGCTCAGCTCAGCTCAGCTCAACTCAATTCCCGTTCAGCTCAGCTCAGTTTCCACTCAATTCAGCTCAGCTCAGTTTCCACTCAATTCAGCTCAGCTCAGTTTCCGCTCAGTTAAAACCCTCGCCCGCACACGCCATTTTCCCATCCTAGAACGCACATGGGGGGGGGGGGGTTGCCACCCCCCGCGCCATTTCGTTCCTGTTGGAGATAGAGCTCAGCGGTAAAGACCAAAAAGATTCTTTGGGAAGAGACAAATCGAATGGTACCCAGTTTTACCTTCTCAGGTCAGTCATGGACCTTCCAGGTCAGGTCAAACTAAAAAATGTTGCTGTTTTGGGTCACCGTTGTACCTATATCGAGTGCGCTGCTTAGCATATACCGATGACGATGCTGTTTTCTGGTGCCAAGCCAGCTGGAACCTCTTTGTCACTCTACCCGACCAGATTTTTGCTGCTGAGGTCATTTCAGGTCAAGTTATGTCAAGGTCAATTATATGTATTTGTATGTCTGTGTGTGTCTGTGTGTATACTGATGTGTGCAGTGTGCACCGATTGCTTTTGTGCCCATATTACATGAAATCATGATCTGAAATCATGATCATGATCTGATATTATAAATGTTATATGAAATCATGATCCAGTTTACATGAAATCATGATCCATATTACATGAAATCATGATCTGAGAAGCTTTTACCAAAAATACAGTCAAAAACTTCACAAAAAGTAAATTCAGCTTGCCTAAAACGCAGTTATCTTAGATGACCTAGTTTGACCTTGACCCTGACCTCGACACCTGTACATCGTCGAACAACATGTTCCATGATAGGTGGGAGGTAAGCCTGGCAAAAAAGGCCGAAATCAAGGTGTCAAAAGCTCACAAGGCCCATGGCAAACGCAAGATGTTGAGAATGGGCCATTTGGGTCATGACATGACCTGAAAAACAAGGTCATATCTCCAAAAACAAAAATCACAGAAACTTGAAACTTTCAGTGGACATCAAGAAAGGATAGAGGAGCAGCTATACGAAAAATCAGCCTTCTAGCTCTAAAAATGTTGAGTGCAGAGCAGAAAGACTACCTGGGAGGGGGGGGGGGGGGGGTGCAGTCGGCGTATGAATAAGGGAGCTTTTCCCATATAATGGACATCAGAAGGTGAGAGTTCCAGTTAGCGCCTCTGCCCCACCCCACTTTCAATAGGATATGGTTGCTTAACCCACATTCAACCAACGAAGAGGAACTTTATTTGCTAATTCCTAATTGTAAACATTTTATGCAGAGGTAAGAACCCTTATTGATAAAATTAATTTAAATAACTGCTTAAATAACAACGTGAAGAATGCTGAATTGTACATTGCGGAGCAGAGTGTCAAGGCGAAGCATCAAAGCCTGACAGTACAGTAGGTAATTATCTTGCAGTCAGACTTGAAACTTGAGACTGGCTGTATTAGCCTGTAAATTGGCCAAGACCCTGGTCTTCCAATTTCCATGCAATATGGATGAAAGAAATTAAGCTTGATTAGTGATTACTATTGATTTCTTTTAGAGTTTTGATAATTTTAAGTGCGATCACGAAGGCAGTGTAACTGCTTACTCCATAGCTAGCTCATAGCTGAAGCATCAAAGCCTGAGTTATCTTCCAAGCATGAACTGACAAAAAAAAAAATTAGAACTGGATCAGCTCAGCTCAGCTAAATCAGCTCAGCTCAGCTTAGCTCAATCAGCTCAGCTCAGCTCAATCAGCTCAGCTCAGCTCGCTCAGCTCAGCTCAGCTCAGCTCAGCTCAATCAGCTCAGCTCAGCTCAAGCTCATTCAGCTCAGCTCAGACAGCAGCTCAGCTCAATGCATTACTGAGCCAGCTCAGCTCACAGCTCAACAATTTGGCAAAATGTTGAGCCGGCTCATGAGCTGAGCTGATTTTTGAGCCGGCTCAACTGAGCTGATCACAAGTCTGTACGAGCCCACAGCCAAACAGCTTAACTCCAAGAACAGGCCACATTATCAAAGAGCACAAGTCACGTGACCTTTAGGCACGTGACAATGAGCTGGCTTACTCTCAACATTCACCTCTTGGAACGCCATCACCTGATCCCGCACACATGGTCCCTATTAGCACTGTGCGGCGTCTCCGAGAGCTAGCCCCACAGCTGGGCTTGGAACACACATCACAGGCTCTTCAACAAAGGTGGCCGGCCCACCGGATGGGCGCGTGGCGGACACGCTCCCCCGCCCCCTCCCTACCCCCGCCCTTCAGAGTACAGGTGCACCGCCGCGAGCGCTAACCCATGTGGTGCAGTTGAGAGGGAGGGGAGGGGAGGGGAGAGGGGGAGAGGGTCCGGCGACGATTGGAGAGAGGAGCTGCCGACACAGACGCGGGGATGAAACCTGAGACCGGTAGGTACTGAGACGGAGACGAAACCGGAGACGGCGACGGATAAAGGAGGGGGGGGGGGGGGGGGTTGGCAGACAGAATGAAGGGTGAGTCGGGAGTCTCCGCTGACACAGGCATATGTTATTGTTGACCACGGGCCGATTTCCTTACAAATAACGGTGTTCTGAAAGGAAGAGACCTTCGATAGCTCTGACAGGCATACATTATTCATGTTCAAAGGCAAAAAGATAAGCAACGGCGAGCCGAGAGAAATTCGTACCTATGCCAACATACAGCAAGGGAGACATGCGGCGTTACAATGGGAAGTTACCCAGAAGACGCCAGTTATGTAATAAGTTACCTATTATCTGCATTCAAAGGACACAACTGGAGATTCATCGCAAGAAACCCAACCAATATCAGCATCATCGAATTGCTGGCCGAAATGAGAAAGGTTTTGCGGATATCTGACCACTTTATCTCAAAAGCATCTCACGAGTACCTATTGAACTTCACACAGAATTCAGAGACGGAGTAGGTCGTAAAGTAATGATGCAGTCGGGGAGACGCAAACCGAAAGCACAAGTACGTTGTGGACTATCGACAGCGCCTTGGAGTATAATTCAAGACGTGCAACGTTAATGCTAGTCGAACGCAGCTCAAGCTATTTGATTTGTAACAAGTTGAGCGGCTAGAAACAAACACTCGGCCTCTCTTTGCCGAGCAGCATCCTTTTGTTCAGTGTGCCAGCGGAACGCAGAGCTCTGTGCTATACATGCACTCGATCGGTTAACCCTCGCCCGCACATGCCATTTTACCATCCTAGAACGCACATGGGGGGGGGGGGGGTGGTTGCCACCCCCCCCCGCGCCATTTCGTTCCTGTTGGAGATAGAGCTTAGCGGTAAAGACCAAAAAGATTCTTTGGGAAGAGACGAATCCAATGATACCCAGTTTTACCTTCTCAGGTCAGTCATTGACCTTCCAGGTCAGGTCAAACTAAAAAATGTTGCTGTTTTGGGTCACCGTTGGATATCAAGTGCGCTGCTTATCAAATACCGATGACGATGCTGTTTTCTGGTGCCAGGCCAGCTAGAACCTCTTTGTCACACTACCCGACCAGAATTTTGCGGCTGAGGTCATTTCAGGTCAAGTTAGGTCAAGGTCAATTATATGTGTTTGTATGTCTGTGTGTGTCTGTGTGTATACTGATGTGTGCACCGATTGTTTTTGGGTCCATATTACACGAAATCATGCTCTGAGAAGCTTTTACCAAAAATGCAGTCAAAAAAATTCAAAAAAAGTAAATTCAGCTTGCCTAAAACGCAATTATCTTAGATGACCTAGGTTGACCTTGACCCTGACCTTGACCCCTGTACATCATCGAACAACATGTTCCATGATAGGAAGGAGGTAATACTGGCAAAAAAGGCCGAAATCAGGGTGTCAAAAGCTCGCAAGACCCATGGCAAACGCAAGATGTTGAGAATTGGCCATTTGGGTCATGACATGACTTGAAAAACAAGGTCATATCTCCGAAACCAAAAATCACAGAAACTTGAAATTTTCAGTGGACATCAAGAAAGGATAGAGGAGCAGCTATACGAAAAATCAGCGTTCTAGCGCTAAAAATGTTGAGTGCAGAGCAGAAAGACTACCTGGGGGGGGGGGGGTGGCAACCCCCCCCCCATGTGCGGGCGAGGGTTAAGCGAGCTGAGAGTAGAGGGACGTCACATTCACAAAGCACCAGAATGCACAGGGGATCCCTCCACTAGGGTCATACTGATCGTCATCGTCGTGGAATCCACCGTTTGGATAGAGAAAAACACCGCTACAATACGCCTCAACGAGCATTCTGCGCGGCTTTCAACCAGACAACGTAACGACGCCTTCAGTAAACCACCAAACGTCGTTGTTTTCAGAGAATTTGTCGGTGTCCGTCGCGGGCTGCGTGTGACAGATAAACTGCTTCACTAACATCGTGGCGTCGAGAGTTGGGCGCCGATACGATCGATCCACATTGCAGCGAGTCAGACGCGTAAGCCACGAGCCAGGATCGACAGAAAAGGTGAGACTCGAAATTATAAGCTTCGTCATGCTGAGTGCTTCATATATATTCTGCAGTATTTGTATAACTATCTCACGAACTATCTCACTAAATCGTGAAAACATCCTTTCTTTGAAGGCCAATCTTGGTTAAATTTTGTGCTGAATCTGAAATACTGCCGGGCAACAGCGAAAATATGCCTGCGTGTAAGAAGATAGCGATATCGTAAGCAACGCGATTTACAAGGACGGGTTAAATATAGCAGAGCATCTGAACTCAACACGCTACACTATGTTCGCACGCTTCACTGATGCATCATACGCAGCCAGCATGTTTGACGAACAAGACCGTTTTCGAAACCTTGTAAGCAGACTTGTAAGCGATTCAACTCTGATTGAATCGATTCTCATGAATCGCTTGAAAATGCCGACTCACTGTGATTGAGTCGGTTGAATCACCTCTTGTCACCATATGAATCCTGATTGAATCGGTCACACATGGCAACTGCAAGTGATTGAATCGGCAACTCATCGATTCAAGTTGATTCAATTAACAAAATGATTCAATCACCATGTGCTGGAAATTGAAGTTATGACCATATTTAGTACTATATTATGTGGAAATATATGTGGCATTTGCATCATAGTCACACACAATGCACTGCAAATTTTTTAGGTATTTTGTCAGTATTATAAATGTGCATAGCTATCAGTATTGAAAAAAAAAACATAAAAATTTTATTTTAAGTTTTTAATCAAACTGTAAACACAAAATTATACATAAATGTCAATGCATGAAGATGAAAAAATGAATGTAAAGTTTCTTTCCAGTGCCCTAAAATCAGTATAGTAATCAAGTTAACAGTAGCAGTAAGCAGGCGCACATTGCTCAACACCTCACGCTCATTATAGAGTTCAGTGCTCAACACACATGTTTTAGATACCATGCTAATCTTTATATTTTCAATACCCTGTTTCATGAGGACATTTGTGAGCAAGCATAGATTTAGTACTTTTCTATGTTTTTTGGTATTTTCCTAGTGTATTTGGTTGATATCTGTTTGGTATCAGTTTCCAAAAATGTCTTAAATTGATATCACATATGTATATATTTTATATAACATCTTGATTGAATCGCGTTGAGTCAAATCATGAGTTGAGTCATTCCCTTAATCACTGATAATGGGATGAGTCGTGATTGAGTTGAATCACAAGGTCCATGAGTCGTGATTGAATCGCTTGGAAAATCAGACTGTTTGATTGAGTTATGATTGAATCGGTCATTTCATCAAGTGAGTCGTGATTGAATTGATTGAATTTTTTTGAATCGTTTACAAGTCTGCTTGTAAGGGCTATTGTAATATACGTTATAATACTGCAGCTAGCAAACAAGCTGGGGCATGGCGGATAATTCAAGTGAAGCAAACTTATGAGAGTTCAAAGAGTCTAAGAAATCTGTAGAACGTGGTTTGGATGTTTGCAGAAGGTAATACCTACATGCATTGCAGTATAGCCTATAGGCCCAGCAACGGAAAACATCAGACTTAACGTTCAGCTTGGAAATGGACACGATAAAGCATGACATACACATAATAAAACGCTCATTATTAAATAAAAAAACTCCCCGTCCACGAACCAAGCCGAACGAACACACATTGAATACAATAACCGCACAATCGATTAATAAGCCAAAAAGACAGAGATGACCACGTGAACGTACACAGAAAATAAGATTAAATCCGCGCTAGGCGCCCTGTAGGACTCACCTGCACATCCACCTGAAATGAGAAGAGGTCGATGCGTTTCCAGTTGCTGCCATCGAGGGCGAGAATGTTCCAGTATTTGCACACTTGGGCACACCGGCAGAGCGAGACAATGTCCAGAAAAGAGAACACTCTGCAACGGACAACAAACGTGGCAGGAGAGGGCATCACAGATGAGCAGACAATTTTATTACGATTACATATCAGTGATAAATAGCGAAAGTACCGACAAGGAGTTAAAGAACGGTATAATGTTACATTGAACCACAATAACGTTGTATTCACCTATTACATATACACTTCATCGTCATGACATTGCTTGTTTGAAAAAGAGGGTTATCAGCGACAAGTAAATTACATATGTTCTCGTGATGGTTTCAGCTGATCAATGGAAATCTGATCTTCACAGGATGCAACTCCATAAACGCAAGTAAGAATAAAACGTTTTTTTTCTTCGTTTCGAAAACGAAGAGAATGGTGTCGCTAAATAAACCCGTATTTGTTAACATGCTTAAATAAGATCGTGAATATTTCTCACCTCACAAAGATTTCAAGTACAAGTTGAGATTTTAATATTTTTTCTCACCTGATTAGCACCTCTTTGGGAAGTTTTTTGTTGATGAGGGCCTCGTCTTCTTGGAAAATGCGGGCAGGCTGCGAATGAAAGCAAGCAGGGTCACAAAATGCGTCATAAGCCTCGTCGATCAATCAGCGTTTACGTCGATCAACCAGAGCACGGTGACTATAACCAGAGATGCGTTCGCACTTTCTAAGCCCTATCGCAAAAGACGATGGTCAGCATATTTTAGGTATTTTTCGTAATCGTAATACAACGATGTTAACCTTGATACATGGTGACTTACAAGTTACATGGGTATTTGTGACCAATAAGCGGTCTTCATAATACGTGCACGTGCTGACGGTTCTTGTTGCCTTTCAACCCAGGCTGCGCCATTTGCCTCCGGAGTCCGGACATGTAGACTAGGCCCGGAAAAACATCGCTCAACCACAACAAAACCCGAGATTCTTCAAGATAGATGAATCCTGGGTAGGGAACTAGGGATGATTGACATTTCTGTCCAGTAAGATATGTATATAATTATAAACTGCAAGAGTACATTATATGTGTCATAGTGCACATAATAACCCTCTGTAATGTCAGCATTGGTGATAATGTATTCAACAGATGTCATGGGAGCATATTCAAGAAAATGGGACACATGATATAGGGCCTGTATGGGTTCATTCAATGTGAGCTCAAAAGTGATAGAAATAAGATCAAATATTATGCAACTTATGTCATCTTGTTTCAGGAAAAAACATCAAGTGAATGAGAGAGGTATATGACCATATCAAAATTTATTGAAGAACAAAAAAACGAACTTTAAACTTAATATGGCTAAACTGAATAACTTTGAAATGTTGCCAAAAATAAATTTTATCTCTAGTGTCAGGCATTTGAACAAGTACAAAAAATGCCTGAAATAGCCAGCATTGTGATAAGAAATATATAGGTATCCAGGCATTCAAATACCCACAATTTTAAGACTGAACCAGTCGCAACACACAAAAAACATAGGTACTGCAGACTGCAGTAGATGCCTAGCTTCATCAATGTCCGTGAAGTTGGCGACGTCGCCAGCGACTTTTCCAGCGACGAGCACCGATTTTAGCCAAAACCTCGTCCAAGGTCAATTGGACCATGAGGATCACGAAAATCGAACCCATTCACCCCTAAACCTTGACCTTCAAGGTCAAATTCAAGGTCAAAGGACGGGGAACTGAAAAAGTGCCACTAGATATTATCCGATCTTCAAAATTTTGGCACCAAAATGTAGCGAGTGCAAAGTTCTAGCCGCACATCGAAAACCATTTTCATCAAGGTCAAACTTCAAGGTCAAATTCAAGGTCAAAGGACGGGGAACTGAAAAAGTGCCACTAAATATTGTCCGATTTTCAAAATTTTGGCACCAAAATGTAGCGCGTGCAAAGTTCTAGCCGCACATCGAAAACCATTTTCATCAAGGTCAAACTTCAAGGTCAAATTCAAGGTCAAAGGACGGGGAACTGAAAAAGTGCCACTAGATATTGTCCGATTTTCAAAATTTTGGCACCAAAATGTAGCGCGTGCAAAGTTCTAGCCGCACATCGAAAACCATTTTCATCAAGGTCAAACTTCAAGGTCAAATTCAAGGTCAAAGGACGGGGAACTGAAAAAGTGAAACTAGATATTATCCGATCTTCAAAATTTTGGCACCAAAATGTAGCGCGTGCAAAGTTCTAGCCGCACATCGAAAACCATTTTCATCAAGGTCAAACTTCAAGGTCAAATTCAAGGTCAAAGGACGGGGAACTGAAAAAGTGCCACTAAATATTGTCCGATTTTCAAAATTTTGGCACCAAAATGTAGCGCGTGCAAAGTTCTAGCCGCACATCGAAAACCATTTTCATCAAGGTCAAACTTCAAGGTCAAACTCAAGGTCAAAGGACGGGGAACTGAAAAAGTGCCACTAAATATTGTTCGATTTTCAAAATTTTGGCACCAAAATGTAGCGCGTGCAAAGTTCTAGCCGCACATCGAAAACCATTTTCATCAAGGTCAAACTTCAAGGTCAAATTCAAGGTCAAAGGACGGGGAACTGAAAAAGTGCCACTAGATGTTGTCCGATCTTCAAAATTTTGGCACCAAAATGTAGCGCGTGCAAAGTTCTAGCCGCACATCGAAAACCATTTTCATCAAGGTCAAACTTCAAGGTCAAATTCAAGGTCAAAGGACGGGGAACTGAAAATGTGCCACTAAATATTGTCCGATTTTCAAAATTTTGGCACCAAAATGTAGCGCGTGCAAAGTTCTAGCCGCACATCGAAAACCATTTTCATCAAGGTCAAACTTCAAGGTCAAATTCAAGGTCAAAGGACGGGGAACTGAAAAAGTGCCACTAAATATTGTCCGATCTTCAAAATTTTGGCACCAAAATGTAGCGCGTGCAAAGTTCTAGCCGCACATCGAAAACCATTTTCATCAAGGTCAAACTTCAAGGTCAAATTCAAGGTCAAAGAACGGGGAACTTTAAAAATGCTACGTCACCAGCGACTTTTCCAGCGACGAGCACCGATTTTACCCAAAACCTCATCCAAGGTCAATTGGACCATGAGGATCACGAAAATCGAACCCATTCACCCCTTAACCTTGACCTTCAAGGTCAAATTCAAGGTCAAAGGACGGGGAACTGAAAAAGTGCCACTAGATATTATCCGATCTTCAAAATTTTGGCACCAAAATGTAGCGCGTGCAAAGTTCTAGCCGCACATCGAAAACCATTTTCATCAAGGTCAAACTTCAAGGTCAAATTCAAGGTCAAAGTACGGGGAACTGAAAAAGTGCCACTAGATATTGTCCGATCTTCAAAATTTTGGCACCAAAATGTAGCGCGTGCAAAGTTCTAGCCGCACATCGAAAACCAATTTCATCAAGGTCAAACTTCAAGGTCAAATTCAAGGTCAAAGGACGGGGAACTGAAAAAGTGCCACTAAATATTGTCCGATCTTCAAAATTTTGGCACCAAAATGTAGCGCGTGCAAAGTTCTAGCCGCACCTCGAAAACCATTTTCATCAAGGTCAAACTTCAAGGTCAAATTCAAGGTCAAAGAACGGGGAACTTTAAAAATGCTACGTCACCAGCGACTTTTCCAGCGACGAGCACCGATTTTAGCCAAAACCTCGTCCAAGGTCAATTGGACCATGAGGATCACGAAAATTGAACCCATTCACCCCTTAATCTTGACCTTCAAGGTCAAATTCAAGGTCAAAGGACGGGGAACTGAAAAAGTGCCACTAGATATTATCCGATCTTCAAAATTTTGGCACCAAAATGTAGCGCGTGCAAAGTTCTAGCCGCACATCGAAAACCATTTTCATCAAGGTCAGACTTCAAGGTCAAATTCAAGGTCAAAAAACGGGGAACTGAAAAAGTGCCACTAAATATTGTCCGATTTTCAAAATTTTGGCACCAAAATGTAGCGCGTGCAAAGTTCTAGCCGCACATCGAAAACCATTTTCATCAAGGTCAAACTTCAAGGTCAAATTCAAGGTCAAAGAACGGGGAACTTTAAAAATGCTACGTCACCAGCGACTTTTCCAGCGACGAGCACCGATTTTACCCAAAACCTCATCCAAGGTCAATTGGACCATGAGGATCACGAAAATCGAACCCATTCACCCCTTAACCTTGACCTTCAAGGTCAAATTCAAGGTCAAAGGACGGGGAACTGAAAAAGTGCCACTAGATATTATCCGATCTTCAAAATTTTGGCACCAAAATGTAGCGCGTGCAAAGTTCTAGCCGCACATCGAAAACCATTTTCATCAAGGTCAAACTTCAAGGTCAAATTCAAGGTCAAAGTACGGGGAACTGAAAAAGTGCCACTAGATATTGTCCGATCTTCAAAATTTTGGCAACAAAATGTAGCGCGTGCAAAGTTCTAGCCGCACATCGAAAACCAATTTCATCAAGGTCAAACTTCAAGGTCAAATTCAAGGTCAAAGGACGGGGAACTGAAAAAGTGCCACTAAATATTGTCCGATCTTCAAAATTTTGGCACCAAAATGTAGCGCGTGCAAAGTTCTAGCCGCACATCGAAAACCATTTTCATCAAGGTCAAACTTCAAGGTCAAATTCAAGGTCAAAGAACGGGGAACTTTAAAAATGCTACGTCACCAGCGACTTTTCCAGCGACGAGCACCGATTTTAGCCAAAACCTCGTCCAAGGTCAATTGGACCATGAGGATCACGAAAATTGAACCCATTCACCCCTTAACCTTGACCTTCAAGGTCAAATTCAAGGTCAAAGGACGGGGAACTGAAAAAGTGCCACTAGATATTATCCGATCTTCAAAATTTTGGCACCAAAATGTAGCGCGTGCAAAGTTCTAGCCGCACATCGAAAACCATTTTCATCAAGGTCAGACTTCAAGGTCAAATTCAAGGTCAAAAAACGGGGAACTGAAAAAGTGCCACTAAATATTGTCCGATTTTCAAAATTTTGGCACCAAAATGTAGCGCGTGCAAAGTTCTAGCCGCACATCGAAAACCATTTTCATCAAGGTCAAATTTCAAGGTCAAATTCAAGGTCAAAGGACGGGGAACTGAAAACGTGCCACTAGATATTGTCCGATCTTCAAAATTTTGGCACCAAAATGTAGCGCGTGCAAAGTTCTAGCCGCACATCGAAAACCATTTTCATCAAGGTCAAACTTCAAGGTCAAATTCAAGGTCAAAGGACGGGGAACTGAAAAAGTGCCACTAAATATTGTCCGATCTTCAAAATTTTGGCACCAAAATGTAGCGCGTGCAAAGTTCTAGCCGCACATCGAAAACCATTTTCATCAAGGTCAAACTTCAAGGTCAAATTCAAGGTCAAAGAACGGGGAACTTTAAAAATGCTACGTCACCAGCGACTTTTCCAGCGACGAGCACCGATTTTAGCCAAAACCTCGTCCAAGGTCAATTGGACCATGAGGATCACGAAAATCGAACCCATTAACCCCTAAACCTTCACCTTCAAGGTCAAATTCAAGTTCAAAGGACGGGGAACTGAAAAAGTGCCACTAAATATTGTCCGATTTTCAAAATTTTGGCACCAAAATGTAGCGCGTGCAAAGTTCTAGCCGCACATCGAAAACCATTTTCATCAAGGTCAAACTTCAAGGTCAAATTCAAGGTCAAAGGACGGGGAACTGAAAAAGTGCCACTAGATATTGTCTGATCTTCAAAATTTTGGCACCAAAATGTAGCGCGTGCAATGTGCGGCTAGAACTTTGCATGCGCTACATTTTGGTGCCAAAATTTTGAAAATCGGACAATATTTAGTGGCACTTTTTCAGTTCCCCGTCCTTTGACCTTGAATTTGACCTTGAAGTTTGACCTTGATGAAAATTGTTTTCGATGTGCGGCTAGAACTTTGCACGCGCTACATTTTGGTGCCAAAATTTTGAAAATCGGACAATATTTAGTGGCACTTTTTCAGTTCCCCGTCCTTTGACCTTGAATTTGACCTTGAAGGTCAAGGTTTAGGGGTGAATGGGTTCGATTTTCGTGATCCTCATGGTCCAATTGACCTTGGACTAGGTTTTGGCTAAAATCGATGCTCGTCGCTGGAAAAGTCGCTGGTGACGTAGCATTTTTAAAGTTCCCCGTTCTTTGACCTTGAATTTGACCTTGAAGTTTGACCTTGATGAAAATGGTTTTCGATGTGCGGCTAGAACTTTGCACGCGCTACATTTTGGTGCCAAAATTTTGAAGATCGGACAATATCTAGTGGCACTTTTTCAGTTCCCCGTCCTTTGACCTTGAATTTGACCTTGAAGTTTGACCTTGATGAAAATGGTTTTCGATGTGCGGCTAGAACTTTGCACGCGCTACATTTTGGTGCCAAAATTTTGAAGATCGGATAATATCTAGTGGCACTTTTTCAGTTCCCCGTCCTTTGACCTTGAATTTGACCTTGAAGGTCAAGGTTAAGGGGTGAATGGGTTCGATTTTCGTGATCTTCATGGTCCAATTGACCTTGGACGAGGTTTTGGGTAAAATCGGTGCTCGTCGCTGGAAAAGTCGCTGGTGACGTAGCATTTTTAAAGTTCCCCGTTCTTTGACCTTCAATTTGACCTTGAAGTTTGACCTTGATGAAAATGGTTTTCGATGTGCGGCTAGAACTTTGCACGCGCTACATTTTGGTGCCAAAATTTTGAAGATCGGACAATATTTAGTGGCACTTTTTCAGTTCCCCGTCCTTTGACCTTGAATTTGACCTTGAAGTTTGACCTTGATGAAAATGGTTTTCGATGTGCGGCTAGAACTTTGCACGCGCTACATTTTGGGGCCAAAATTTTGAAAATCGGACAATATTTAGTGGCACTTTTTCAGTTCCCCGTCCTTTGACCTTGAATTTGACCTTGAAGTTTGACCTGGTAGAAAATGATTTTCGATGTGCGGCTAGAACTTTGCACGCGCTACATTTTGGTGCCAAAATTTTGAAAATCGGACAATATTTAGTGGCACTTTTTCAGTTCCCCGTCCTTTGACCTTGAGTTTGACCTTGAAGTTTGACCTTGATGAAAATAGTTTTCGATGTGCGGCTAGAACTTTGCACGCGCTACATTTTGGTGCCAAAATTTTGAAAATCGGACAATATTTAGTGGCACTTTTTCAGTTCCCCGTCCTTTGACCTTGAATTTGACCTTGAAGTTTGACCTTGATGAAAATGGTTTTCGATGTGCGGCTAGAACTTTGCACGCGCTACATTTTGGTGCCAAAATTTTGAAGATCGGATAATATCTAGTTGCACTTTTTCAGTTCCCCGTCCTTTGACCTTGAATTTGACCTTGAAGTTTGACCTTGATGAAAATGGTTTTCGATGTGCGGCTAGAACTTTGCACGCGCTACATTTTGGTGCCAAAATTTTGAAAATCGGACAATATTTAGTGGCACTTTTTCAGTTCCCCGTTTTTTGACCTTGAATTTGACCTTGAAGTCTGACCTTGATGAAAATGGTTTTCGATGTGCGGCTAGAACTTTGCACGCGCTACATTTTGGTGCCAAAATTTTGAAGATCGGATAATATCTAGTGGCACTTTTTCAGTTCCCCGTCCTTTGACCTTGAATTTGACCTTGAAGGTCAAGATTAAGGGGTGAATGGGTTCAATTTTCGTGATCCTCATGGTCCAATTGACCTTGGACGAGGTTTTGGCTAAAATCGGTGCTCGTCGCTGGAAAAGTCGCTGGTGACGTAGCATTTTTAAAGTTCCCCGTTCTTTGACCTTGAATTTGACCTTGAAGTTTGACCTTGATGAAAATGGTTTTCGATGTGCGGCTAGAACTTTGCACGCGCTACATTTTGGTGCCAAAATTTTGAAGATCGGACAATATCTAGTGGCACTTTTTCAGTTCCCCGTCCTTTGACCTTGAATTTGACCTTGAAGTTTGACCTTGATGAAAATGGTTTTCGATGTGCGGCTAGAACTTTGCACGCGCTACCTTTTGGTGCCAAAATTTTGAAAATCGGACAATATTTAGTGGCACTTTTTCAGTTCCCCGTCCTTTGACCTTGAATTTGACCTTGAAGTTTGACCTTGATGAAAATGGTTTTCGATGTGCGGCTAGAACTTTGCACGCGCTACATTTTGGTGCCAAAATTTTGAAGATCGGATAATATCTAGTGGCACTTTTTCAGTTCCCCGTCCTTTGACCTTGAATTTGACCTTGAAGGTCAAGGTTAAGGGGTGAATGGGTTCGATTTTCGTGATGCTCATGGTCCAATTGACCTTGGACGAGGTTTTGGCTAAAATCGGTGCTCGTCGCTGGAAAAGTCGCTGGTGACGTATCATTTTTAAAGTTCCCCGTTCTTTGACCTTGAATTTGACCTTGAAGTTTGACCTTGATGAAAATGGTTTTCGATGTGCGGCTAGAACTTTGCACGCGCTACATTTTGGTGCCAAAATTTTGAAGATCGGACAATATTTAGTGGCACTTTTTCAGTTCCCCGTCCTTTGACCTTGAATTTGACCTTGAATTTTGACCTTGATGAAAATGGTTTTCGATGTGCGGCTAGAACTTTGCACGCGCTACATTTTGGTGCCAAAATTTTGAAGATCGGACAATATCTAGTGGCACTTTTTCAGTTCCCCGTCCTTTGACCTTGAATTTGACCTTGAAGTTTGACCTTGATGAAAATGGTTTTCGATGTGCGGCTAGAACTTTGCACGCGCTACATTTTGGTGCCAAAATTTTGAAGATCGGATAATATCTAGTGGCACTTTTTCAGTTCCCCGTCCTTTGACCATGAATTTGACCTTGAAGGTCAAGGTTAAGGGGTGAATGGGTTCGATTTTCGTGATCTTCATGGTCCAATTGACCTTGGACGAGGTTTTGGGTAAAATCGGTGCTCGTCGCTGGATAAGTCGCTGGTGACGTAGCATTTTTAAAGTTCCCCGTTCTTTGACCTTGAATTTGACCTTGAAGTTTGACCTTGATGAAAATGGTTTTCGATGTGCGGCTAGAACTTTGCACGCGCTACATTTTGGTGCCAAAATTTTGAAGATCGGACAATATTTAGTGGCACTTTTTCAGTTCCCTGTCCTTTGACCTTGAATTTGACCTTGAAGTTTGACCTTGATGAAAATGGTTTTCGATGTGCGGCTAGAACTTTGCACGCGCTACATTTTGGTGCCAAAATTTTGAAAATCGGACAATATTTAGTGGCACTTTTTCAGTTCCCCGTCCTTTGACCTTGAATTTGACCTTGAAGTTTGACCTGGATGAAAATGGTTTTCGATGTGCGGCTAGAACTTTGCACGCGCTACATTTGGGTGCCAAAATTTTGAAAATCGGACAATATTTAGTGGCACTTTTTCAGTTCCCCGTCCTTTGACCTTGAGTTTGACCTTGAAGTTTGACCTTGATGAAAATGGTTTTCGATGTGCGGCTAGAACTTTGCACGCGCTACATTTTGGTGCCAAAATTTTGAAAATCGGACAATATTTAGTGGCACTTTTTCAGTTCCCCGTCCTTTGACCTTGAATTTGACCTTGAAGTTTGACCTTGATGAAAATGGTTTTCGATGTGCGGCTAGAACTTTGCACGCGCTACATTTTGGTGCCAAAATTTTGAAGATCGGATAATATCTAGTTGCACTTTTTCAGTTCCCCGTCCTTTGACCTTGAATTTGACCTTGAAGTTTGACCTTGATGAAAATGGTTTTCGATGTGCGGCTAGAACTTTGCACGCGCTACATTTTGGTGCCAAAATTTTGAAAATCGGACAATATTTAGTGGCACTTTTTCAGTTCCCCGTCCTTTGACCTTGAATTTGACCTTGAAGTTTGACCTTGATGAAAATGGTTTTCGATGTGCGGCTAGAACTTTGCACGCGCTACATTTTGGTGCCAAAATTTTGAAAATCGGACAATATTTAGTGGCACTTTTTCAGTTCCCCGTCCTTTGACCTTGAATTTGACCTTGAAGGTCAAGGTTTAGGGGTGAATGGGTTCGATTTTCGTGATCCTCATGGTCCAATTGACCTTGGACGAGGTTTTGGCTAAAATCGGTGCTCGTCGCTGGAAAAGTCGCTGGCGACGTCGCCAACTTCACGGACATGCTTCATCAAACAAACAAAATTTGATTAAACTGAAATGAAACCAAACATGATGCAACCAAAGATGTCAAGATAACATATTAAATGAAAATAGAATTAAATGTTACAATATCCCACAAGAACATGGACAAAGAGGTCATTGACAGCGACATACTGATACACTGGCAAGACAAAGCCATTGGATGAGAATAAGTTACTGGCACTGCATGCGTCAAATGGTCAGGAAACATAAGCAAACCCAAATATTCAATGACATAAAAGGAAGAGTAAATCTTCATAAAAAGCACAAATCAGATGTTTTGAAGCACAAGTGCCCTCAGGGGCCAACTCATCACAACAAAGGCTATCGATTGAAACATGGCCTTTGAACGAATCTCCTTACCTCAGACCTGTGCCTGCCGTTGCAGTGCATTATAGCTTTCTTATATAATAGTCCAAGTTCATGGTTTGCAGCCTGTCGCCCTGAAAATTCCAAAACCCTTGAAGTTGCCCCGCAACAAGGGGCAGCTTCGGCAGATGTGGATTCTCAAGGACGTCGCTGCTGCGGCGGCGCGCGCTACTATGGCGCATGTAAACACTAAACATGGGCCTGTTCCAGCGCCTCCAGAATAAATTCTTGACTGGAGGCTCTACCAGAGGTTTTACTGGAGGCGCTGGAACGCAATCTGGAGATTTCTGGAGATTGGTGTCATAGATACCAAAAGAATGACGATTGTTCTCTCTTGAAACGCAAAATTTGTTTTCAATTTTAGTTAAAAAGATAAATAAAATTATAGCAATGTAATTTTCTTTACATTCAAGTTGTAAAATTATCAGTCAAATGTCCTTTGTTTACATTCGTGATTGTCACATGTGCGCCATAATTGTAGACCAGAGCCTCCAGAGAAATTTGGACCTCTCAACTCTCTGGAGGCTACTGGAGGTTTCTGGAGCTTTGGCGAGAGCTTTCTGGAGCTTTCTGGAGGCGCTGGAACGCTCTCTGGAGAATTCTAGAGCTTTCTGGAGCTTTCTGGAGGTTTCTGGAGGCGCTGGAACAGGCCCCATATCCGCATCACAGCTGATGACTGACGTCACGATTAGAGCGGCAGAATTTTCCTTAGTCGTCAACTAGGTGAGCGAAAATTATGATGAAGTGTAAAATGTTCTCCAATATTGAAAATATAGCGTGAATTTTCAATTATTGGCCCTTCTAAATTATAAAATTAGTTTTTTTGTGATGAAATTTTCCTAACTTTCATAAAGTCAGTATCAACAGAATTTAAATTCTGCCGTCAAGTAATTAATTTGAGCGTTATTTTTGCCAAGCTGTTCATAGTTTTGAGTTCACAGCACAGATGATCGCCTCAGCTGCAGCAGCTGTAGCGTATTTTCTCAGAATAAGAATTTGTGACCTCTAATTTATTTTGCTAAAAATTTACGAAAGAGTTAGAAAACTTTCCATAACATATGGCAGCTTTAGAACGTAAGGACGGCTTCCAAATGCGCCACAAATGTAGAAGTTCGTGTTTTGGTTGACGTGGTGCGGCGGTGCGGCGTGTGTTGTTTACAAGCGCTTGGAACCGGGCGCGGGAAAGTTTCGAGTGATATTTACCTGCTCATTAACTGTGTTTTAGTATTTGATATTAGAACGCAAGGTTTTCATCGGTAAGAGTCGAAAAAAGCGTACTCGTTTATGCCTGGTCGTCGACGCCACGCATATAAATGGTGGTACGCGCCCAGAAATAACTGATCAAGTTAATGCATTTCCGCGGCGAAGGCGAAAAGCAGGCTAGCTTCCACTCAGAGGTAAGTTGCATGTTTTGCGCATCATTAATCAGGTATTATGCTGAATGTTTTTAATGTTTTGTATGTGGTGTTAAATAAATGAAAACCTATTTTGACTTTCCAATTGCTGGTTCAGAAATTGTAAAACGTGGCAACTCGGTTTACAAACCAGATTGAGATGAGCCAGGTTGACAACCATGGGTGCACCAGCTTACACCAAACAGCCGGACAAATGCATCAGCTCACACCAAACAATGCTGATAATTTTTGCCGCAGATTGGTAGATTTTTGCACGACTGATGAAAACTGCAATGAAGGGCATTGGTCTCATTGGTGGGATGAATTTCCTGACTGACCCCCTTGTGTCTCCCATACATAATTTTCTTGGACAATGATGTGCCAGCACAGCAGCTAAGCACAGTGCCATGTGAAGGACCTGCACCTCTTCACATAAAACATCAATATCACCACACTGCAGTAAATCCCCAGTGCACCACACACTGGCAGATTGCCCTTGCACCAACAAAATATTGTCAAAATTGCCATGCTTTGCAGTCTGGCTAATGGTCCCTATCAAATTTAACTCATTTCCCTGTGTGGCTCTCAGCCAACTTCCCCATGTGGGGAGGGGCTTTTAGCCCACTCACACCTGATTATCTAAAAAAACTATGAAAAGCAAAAATGCCATGGTATAATTGGAAGTCATGTAGGCTGTAGCATATCAATTGGTATGTGCTTTCAAGCCCAATACATTTCATGCATTTTACTGTTCATCCTTGTTTCCATTAAAAGTTTTTGTCCAAAAACTTTGGTGACCTTTGTGACCTAACAGGATGTCCAAGTGACTGTTTAAATACAACAGTCTGGAACCTGTCTATTCCATTAGGCCAAAGATATAATGATTCAGGAATATATTTTAGGTTTGTATGTTTGTTAGTAGCAGGAGGCCTTTTTACTTTTCTTCCATTGTTATTTGTTTTCTAATGATAAGGTTACAAATTTATTTGACCAACCCCACATCATGGTTATGAAACATAAGAATTCAGAGATATATGAATTGTTTGCACTGATACCCTTATTCAAATCACCAATTTTTAGACTTCTATGATAAAAATTGTAGCATTGACAGGATCACAAAGTTTTTTTTTTTTTTTTTGAAGAGGCAATGTTATTTTGCTTGACCTGACAACCTTACTTTAGGTGACCTAGGGTCAAAATTCTCACAAATGATACAAAATTGATTCATAGGGATCTGTGCCAAGTTTTGCTGCAGTTTTTTTCTACTCATGAAAGCCATACCTATTAAAATTATTGAGACTGAAGCCCTGTCCAATTGAGAGGTTCATGGGGCATTTGAAGAGGCTGTATATGACAAGTGTGTATTTACAGCTCTTGTAATATGTTTCCACAAAAAAAAAATAATTTAGCTTCCAGTTTCTGATGAATGTCGTTGTTGCATTTAATTTTCATTTCACGGTAACATCTACCAAAATCGCCGTTGCTGCGTTGTTTCAGATAGCGACCAAGACCTACACAAACAGTGGAATGAACAGCAGCCAGGGAGGCCGGCCGAGGCGGCCGCGGAGCTCCAACGCGCCCCACTCGGGCGGCGGCTCCAGGTCAGTCAGTCGGGCAGGCGGGCGGTACCGGGTGGGCACGGGCCGACCGGAGTTTTAGGGTCTTGGGGCGACCGGCGAGAGAGGGACGGAGTCGCACTGCGCGCTGACCGCCGAGCCTTGAGGCGGTGCATATTGTGTCGGTGAATTATTCGCTCTGCTGAGTTTGTTGTGTAGCTCATCGTTTGATCTGCTCTATAAATTGCTGGTTGTTTTATGATTTCTTTTTGTATTTTTTACAGTCTTAGCTTTCCCATTAGTTGGCTGAACAAAGCTATAGTTTGAATACATTTCTGTACTTGTTTATCCAAAGTTTATGTTGGTCAAAGCTTTCAAGGCAAGGTATAACAAAACTATTTTGCTATATTATGCCGTCGTTTTTTCGGCATATCTTCGGCTTCGGCTAATTTTGTTTTATATCGTTGCTGACATTTTGTATTTTTATCGTGAATGACCTTTGGCCGTCCAAGCCGCCCTCCTCACCATTCCCTCTGTCTCCTCCCCTCAGACACGGTCGGCCGCGGGACTCTCGTGGCAGTCAGGACCGGCCGCCGGCAGAGGCCTCAGGGGTGTACGCCAACGCCCAGTACGCGCACGCGCTCACCTCCATCCTGGGATGCCCCGTGCGGGTGAGTACTGAACGATCCTCGAGGACAGATGGTGGGGAAACTATACGGTGATGTGTCGTGTGAACCGGCTCTACTAACTGACGGACTCAGCAGTGGGAGCGCCTCAAGGACAACGGGCCACGAAAACATCAACAGGTGATTGAACTCATGGCATATGCATAGCTGGGTGGCTTCTCTTGACGCTTTCGGCTCAGTCTTGGAATTATCGTATCCCAACTGGTTGACGTCCAACAGTTACAATTTTCGTCTTTGTTCAGCCGAAGTCAGACGCCGGCTCTGATATATTGTCAGACGATTACTGCTAGTACATCGGCTACCGATCGGAAAAATTCCGTTATCTGACCTCCGGAGAACATGCATGATTAATTATTATAAACCTAATAACTAGAACATTTCCAATCTGAAGAAGGTGTATCATGGAGTTCGTTGGATGCATTTCTGTCGTTTTTGGCGTCGCTTTATGTATTTCTGCTCACGAACTGCTTTGACGTTTATTATCAAAGTAACAAATTGTGAATTTGGACATAACTACCTAGCTATAATGACAATGAATGTCGCCTGTCACTTATCGCTTTGTGGACCATCAGCGATCAGCGATAGCCGTGAAACCAAAACGGCCGACCGAGGCGGCAGGTTTCGCAGTACCTTTTTATTCATCATTCACCACTGCTGTGTTACCGCCGTGTGAACCATTATTTGATGACACTGTCCACTGGGTGCTGTCGGCGCGGTGCCGCGCCCACCTCTGCCATATGTCCGGTCACAGTGGGCAGCGCCGCTACGTGACCGTCAGCTTCCGGCGGCCCGCCCCTCGCCCCCGCCCCTCCCAGCCCCGCCCCCGGCGATCATGACAGTGCGCTGCTGGTGCGTGGAGAGAGGGAGGGAGGGAGAGGGAGAGGGCTGCTGATAACCACCGGCCTGATTCGGTTGGAGATGATTGAAGGCTGGTGGGTTGGAGTGTATGTTGTGTGTGTGTGAAAGGGTAGAGTCGAGACGTGAGGAGTCAGTGGTTCATTCATTGGCGAGAGGGAGAGGCGGAGATGCGAGGATGAATGAGTGGGGATGAAAACAAAGAGGCTAGCTTACAGCGAATGGGCAATATGAGGGTAAAGGGCGAACTGAGGAGACATATGCGATAACGGGGCGAGGAATGTCTGTTGGTGAGAGACGAAGTGAAGGCAAAGGAGTGAATTTGCCGAGACTGATCAGTACATGAGAGAAGGGATAAGACTCATGAGTGATTGCGATTGTGAGCACGACTATTTGGATTGTGTGTGGAATAAAACCGACATGCTTGTTCCAATGACTCGCTACTAGGAATTCAATTGGGAGTGGTGCGAGGTTTGCGGTATTTTGTTTTGGACCTGCAACATTTCATCACCGTTAAATCATGGTACTGTGCACTGGTTACCGATCACAGCCGGTGCGGAGCGCTGTGCAGAGACTGGCCGCCGTGATGCCCTCCGTGGCATATACCTGTGTTTCAGTGTGGTGGTCCGCTGGTGTGGGATGGGGTTGTGAATGAAGGAAATGTGCGCGATAATCGGTAGTTAGCGAGACTAGAAAATCGGGAGCGGGTGGATGTCTGGTAATATGAATAGACAGTGTTGGAAAATGCTACTGCTGACGGGCCGCAGTAGATCGGGCGGCTTGTCTGGCTGCATAATAAATGTTTTAAAACGGACATTGGAAGTTGAAAGACGCCGTAACTCCCCGTTAACTTTTGCTATGACACCTGAAACCATATCGATGGTTAATGAGCCGTGTCCCGATTTTTTTTTTTTTTTGCACATTTA